GCCCCTGGCCTGTCTTATTGAGGCCCCTGGTGCTGTTTGCATTTTGCTGTTTCACTCTCCCCATCATTAGGGTGACCGAAAGGAGTCCAGATTTCACAGGTTTTGTTTTTGTCTTCCTCTGGATCATCAGACGGCTCCATGTAAACATTGTCGGTTGATGTTTATGCCTTTTGTTTGTAAATATTGTCATCTAATGTCAGTATCAGTATTGGTAAGTCTAGGTTCACACCTATGCGTTTTCCTTTGTGTTTTGCAGAAGTGCACTAGTCCATTTAACATGATTTCCTATGGGACAGGTTCACATCTCCGCGGTTTCACCCGGTGTGTGTTTTTTGGAAAGGGTCGGGGACCTTTTTTAAAACACAAAACATTGCATTTTTGGTTCAATAGACTTCAATGGAAATAATGTAGAAATGAATGTAGTGCGTTCTTGATGCGTTTTGCATTTTAATCTGCCCAGCAACAAGTTGGAAAAAAAAACCGCATGTGCAAAAAGGCATCGCAAAAAGCAGTGCAGAAACAGATCAAATGCAAACTGCATAGGTGTGAACCTAGACTGACTGTAGGTTAACTCCCTGTAAACAATGCTCCTTGGCATCCATAGCAACCCAGTCATGCTCCTTTTAGACCACTTTAACTGCTTCCTGACCACCCTATAGCAGAAATACTGCTACAGGGCGGCGCGGCTGCGCAAAATCACATATACGTAATTTTGCAGTTCTGGAAAGGGGGCGTGCACGAGCCCTACCCGCGCCACCATTTGCGGCTGTCAATCACTGGATCCCGGCCGGTGATTACCGAGCATCTCCGACGGGGAGGAGGACTGTTTTCTTTACTAACAGTTCTCCCTGTAAGCTCAGGCACAGTGCTTTGGATGGCTGTGCATAGCACAGCCATCCAAAGCAGAGTGCTTACAGTGAAGTTCTAGTAAAACACACCCAGCACACAGTTAACCCTTTGATCGCTCCTCATGTTATCCCCATCTTGCTCAGTGCCATTATTAACATTGTCAGTGCTTTTTTTTTTTCTAGCACTTATCACTGTATTGGTGTCATCAGGGATGTCAGTGACACCCAAGTCAGTTCCCCCCAGTGTCATAATGTCCGCCGCAGTCCTGCTATAAGTCGCTGATCGCTGCCATTACTAGTAAGAATAATTTTTTTTTTAAAAACCCAGTATGTATACCGCCATTTGTAAACTCTATAACTTTCATGTAAACCAATTAATTTACAAGTATTGGGATTTTTTTTTATCAAAGACATGGAGCAGAATACATTTTGACCTAAATTTCTGCCGAAATTTGATTTTTAAAATTTTTTTTTTTATTGGATATGTTTAACCACTTGCCAACCGCGCTATAGCCGAATGACGGCTACAGCGCGGTTGTCCAGTTCTGGGAGGGCGTCATATACGTCCTCCCAGAATGCGCCCTCCCGCGCACCCCTGGCGATCTCTGTGATCGCTGTGTCCTATGGACACAGCTGACCACATGATGTGTTAAAAAAGCCAATCACAGCGGCCTTTTACCACGTGATCTAATGACAGCAGATCAATGCAGTTGCCAACTATCGGCTCCACTTTCCTCACATTGTCACAACGTGAAGAAAGTACTGCCGATAACCGGCAGTTGTCAGAGGAGGGATCGGCACCGATCATCTGGGCACTGATGATCAGTGCCCAGCAGTGCTGCCCACCTGTGCCCATCAGTGCCGCCAGTCAGTGTCGCCCATCAGTGCCCATCATTGTTGCATATCAGTGCTGCCTCATCAGTGCCAGCTCATGAGTGCCACCCATCAGTGCTGCCTATCCGTGCCGCCTATCCGTGCCACCCTCATCAATGCCTATCAGTGCAATCTCATTAACGCACATCAGTGAAGGAGAAAAATTACCTGTTTGCAAAATTTTATAATAGAAACAAAGAAAAACATTTTATTAAAATTTTTTGCTCTTCTTTTTGTTTATAGTGCAAAAAATAAAACACCCAACGGCGAGTAAATACCACCAAAAGAAAGCTCTATTTGTGTGAAAAAAATGATAAAAATGTTATATGGGTACAGTGTTGTATGATTGCGCAATTGTCATTCAAAGTGCGACAGCGCTGAAAGCTAAAAATTGGCCTGGGCAGGAAGGGGGTATAAGTGCCCGGTAGGTGAGTGGTTAATAGCAAAAAGAAAAAAAAAAAACGAAACAATATTTTCTACTCAAAATTGTCCGCCTTTTTTGTTTATAGCGCAAATAATAAAAAAACGCAGAGGTGATCAAATACCACCGAAAAAGCTCAATTTGTGGGAAAAAAAAGGCTGTAAGTTTAATTTTGGTGCAACATTGCATGACCGCGCAATTTGTCAGTTAAAGTAAGGCAGCGCCGTAGCGCAAAAAAAATGACCTGGTCACGAAGGGGGGGGGGGGGGGGGGGATCCTCTGGAGGGCAAGTGGTTAAGGCAGACCGGTTGCTATGGCTATTTGCAGGAAACGCCAACACTACTACTAAGGCCTCATTCACACGGTCACTGAAAACATGAAAACAGGCGTTGATTTGCATCTATTTTACCACCCACCACTGATTTAACATTGCCAGCAGATATGTCTGCACTGCCGAAAATTGTAGACAACATGAAGCTGTTGGTAGGCGGTACTGCCGCCAAACTATTCAAGTGAATGGCACCACGCCACAACTGTGATGCAACTACGTCTAATGCATGCGATGTGGTGCGATTTCACCCAAAATTTAAACCAGGCATATTCTGGGCTGCCTGTCAACCGCCTCTGCAAAGCGATCCACAGCGGATTGCCATTCAGGGCAGTCAGAAAAACAGCCAACTGTGTGAATGAGGCCCAATGGCCATCACTCCCTTGGTGGCATGGACTAGCATTGAATCTTGCTTGTAAGTGGAGACCGAGCAACAGCTTACAGATCCAGCCAATTAGAAACTGACGCTGTTGGCAACGATAAATGGTCTCATAGCAATTTGGTGGTTCGTGAGATCATCCATCTGATATGGTTCGTAAGCTGGCCATACACGTGTAGATTTTCAAATGAGAATATTCGTAAGAAAAGTCGTGCAAAAATTTGAACATTCGATGAATGTGAACAAGACCTTGTTACAGTATTTAACCACTTCCTGTCTGACCCATGTATATACAGTGGGGCAAAAAAGTATTTAGTCAGCCACCAATCGTGCAAGTTCTCCCACTTAAAAAGATGAGAGAGGCCTGTAATTGGCATCATAGATAGACCTCAACTATGAGAGACAAAATGAGAAATAAAATCCAGACAATCACATTGGCTGATTTGGAAAGAATTTATTTGCAAATTATGGTGGGAAATAAATATTTGGTCACCTACAAACAAGCAAGTATTTTGGCTCTCACAGACCTGTACCTTCTTCTTTAAGAGGCTCCTCTGTCCTGCACTCATTACCTGTATCAATGGCACCTGTTTGAACTTGTTATCAGTATAAAAGACACCCGTCCACAACCTCAAACAGTCACACTCCAAACTCCACTATGGTGAAGACCAGAGAGCTGTCGAAGGACACCAGAAACAAAATTGTAGACCTGCACCAGGCTGGGAAGACTGAATCTGCAATAGGCAAGCAGCTTGGTGTGAACAAATCAACTGTGGGAGCAATAATTAGAAAATGGAAGACATACAAGACCACTGATAATCTCCCTCGATCTGGGGCTCCAAGCAAGATCTCACCCCGTGGGCTCAATATGATCACAAGAACGGTGAGCAAAAATCCCAGGACCACACGGGGGGACCTAGTGAATGACCTGCAGAGAGCTGGGACCAACGTAACAAAGGCTACCATCAGTAACACACTACGCCACCAGGGACTCAGATCCTGCAGTGCCAGACGTGTCCCCCTGCTTAAGCCAGTACATGACCGGGCCTGTCTGAAGTTTGCTAGAGAGCATTTGGGTGATCCATAAGAGGATTGGGAGAATGTCATATGGTCAGATGAAACCAAAATAGAACTGTTTGGTAGAAGCACAACTCGTTGTGTTTGGAGGAGAGAGAATGCTGAGTTGCATCCAAAGAACACCATACCTACTGTGAAGCATGGGGGTGGCAACAACATGCTTTGGGGCTGTTTTCTCCGCAAAGGGACCAGGACGACTGATCCATGTACAGAACAGAATGAATGGGGCCATGTATCGTGAGATTTTGAGTGCAAACCTCCTTCCATCAGCAAGGGCATTGAAGATGAAACGTGGCTGGGTCTTCCAACATGACAATGATCCCAAACATACCACCCGGGCAATGAAGGAGTGGCTTCGTAAGAAGCATTTCAAGGTCCTGGAGTGGCCTAGCCAGTCTCCAGATCTCAACCCCATAGAAAACCTTTGGAGGGAATTGAAAGTCCGTGTTGCCTAGCGACAGCCCCAAAACATTACTGCTGTAGAGGAGATCTGCATGGAGGAATGGGCCAACATACCAGCAACAGTGTGTGCCAACCTTGTGAAGACTTACAGGAAACGTCTGTCCTCTGTCATTGCCAACAAAGGATATATAACAAAGTATTGAGATGAACTTTTGATATTGACCAAATACTTATTTTCCACCATAATTTGCAAATAAATTCTTTCCAAATCAGCCAATGTGATTGTCTGGATTTTTTTTCTCATTTTGTCTCTCATAGTTGAGGTCTACCTATGATGCCAATTACAGGCCTCTCTCATCTTTTTAAGTGGGAGAACTTGCACAATTGGTGCCTGACTAAATACTTTTTTGCCCCACTGTAAATGGCTAGATGGGAGCAGTGCCATAGTGGGTCGCCGTTTATAAACGGCCCCCGCATTTACTGCCTGTGAGCGCTCCCTGGGAGTGCGCCGCGCTGCAATCCAGTGTTCCGCTGTGTCCAGAACACTGATTGCTGTATGGGACCTCCTGTGTGAGGTCCTGATTTATGTGATCACTGATTGGCCAATCAGTGATCACATGAATAGTAGTAAGCAAGATGTCACTTCTGACATCATTGCTTACTACTTGTGAAATCTGTGAATGATCACAGAGGTCACATGGTACAGGGCTATTCACAACAGCTTTGTACCATGTGACAAACTGTGACCAATCACCGCTACATAGTTACATAGTTTGGCTGAAAAAGACAAAAGTCCATCCAGTTCAACAGCTCTCACAGTATTTTTCAATGGCTGCAAGAATGCAGCCAGAGAGGAGAAATTATTCCTTTTACAGCCTTTATGGGTGTTAAAGCAATCAGTATAAAAACAAGAAAAAAAAAAATCTTCATCACCCCCCACAAGTAGTACAGTGTCACTGCTAGGGTGATGGTATGTTTAAAAAAAAACCCATAAATAATAATATAAAAATGTAAAAAAAAAATGTGAAAAATTATAATTTTTGGTTATAAACTAATTTGGGTTATTTATTTATTTATTTTTACTAAAAAGATAGCTGGATACATTTTGGCCAAGATTTATGAAGAAAGATTATTTATTTGGAAAATTTTATAAGAAAAACACTTTTTTTTTCAAAATGTTTGGACTTTATTTAAGTAGCAAAAAATAAAAATCCCAGTGGTGAATAAATACCACCAAAAGAAAGCTCTATCTGTCTCAAAAAAATGCTAAAAAATTCATATGGGTACAGTGTTGCATGACTGCGCAATTGTCATTCAAAGTGTGATAGCACTGAAAGCTGAAAATTGGCCTGGGTAGGAAGGGGGTGAAAGTGTCCGGACATGAAGTGGTTAACCACTTTCCCTCCGCCCTATAGCAGAAATACTGCTAAGGGGCGGCAGGGGTGCGCAAAATCACATGTGTGTATATATACATGATTTTACGGGGGGGGGGGGGTGAGTGAGCCACACGTGCACCCTACCGTCGCTGCCATTTGCAGCCTCGGTTGTCAATCACTGGGTCCCAGCCGGTGATAACTTGCTGGTACCTGATGATCGCTGAGTATCTCCGATGGGGGAGAGACCTGTATGTAAACAATACAGATCTCTCCCCTGTCAGCTCCTGCACATTGCTTTGCATGGCTCTGCATAGCAGAGCCATAAAAAGCAGTGTGCTTACAGTGAAACACACACACAGCCCACGTAGTAAAACCGCAGGCAGTTAACCCTTTGATGGCACCTTATGTTAGCCCCTTCCTGCCCAGTGCCATTAGTACAGTATCCGTGTCCTCCGACACAGCGGGCACCAGATCGCGGTGCCACGCGCTCCCAGAAAGCGCGCACAGTCCAAAATGGCTGGCGCCGGATCGCGGTGCCATGCGCTCCCAGAAAGCGCGTACAGTCCAAAATGGCTGGCTCCTGCACTGCCCCCGCCCGGCCGTTTATATACATGGGCCAGACAGGAAGTGGTTAATTAAGTTCCTCCATCAGTTTATTTCCCTGTAGGCCTACAGGAAGAAGTGGCTGCCATTGAAGTCACTGGTAAAGAGCTGCACATGTGCAGTACAAGAACTCTCAGAAGAGACCATCGGGGCCTTGCTTGGTCTAGGCTGCAGCATCAATATCCATGGATCAGTTGATATCACGCCTGTGTTTCTATATATGGAAGGGATCAGGACAGTGATGAAGGTGTTATAGGAGGTTATACATGTTTATTAGAGAGCCTTGGGTTGGCCTGTTATGCAAATCTTTTGCAGGTCAAATGCCTGGGCCTAACCGAGAGACATATGTAGGCTGCCATTGCTGACCTCCTTCTGAAATTGCTAGCTGCTTAACTCTCTCTAGCTTCAGTACCTCAAAGCAGCCTTTTTTTTTCAACTTGGTTGCTTAGGCACCCTGGGGTGCCTTCCGAGTTTTTAGGGGACTTTGGCAAAATGCCAAAATATTACTCCAAATTGCCCAAAAATTGTGGAAGATCAGCCTGCTTTTTTGTTACACAAGGCCACTAGATTTTCATTGTGCAACATTACAATCTTGGGCACTGGGCAGGCCAGCTGCCAGTGTCCTAACAACCATTGATGTCATTGGTCGATATGGAGGACATCGGGCACCTACACAGTATCCTTGCTTGACCCTCCTGCCCTTTTCTGTTAGCAGCGGGGTTGTGTGGAGAAGAGGAAACGAGGAAAAAGAAATGCTAGAATACTAGTCAGTGTCACCTCTAATATTGCCCGTCCTATGAGCATGAATGCTGCTGCAATATGTAAAACTAAGAGTTTATTTTTGTAAATTTTAGAAGGTGCCTTGTGATTGTCCATAATTTTAAAAGAAAAAGGTTGAGAAACATTGCCTTAACCACTTGCCCTCCAGAGGATTTACCCCCCTTCCTGACCAGGCCATTTTTTGCATTACGACGCTGCGTTACTTTAACTGACAATTGCGCGCGGCGGTCGTGCAACGCTGCACCCAAATGAAATTTTACGTCCTTTTTCCCCACGAATAGCGCTTTCTTCGTGGGGAAAAAAGCAGAAATCTGCCCACACCATGTTATTGCCAAAATAAAAGCTTAATTTCAATTATATAATTGTATGACAATTTAAAACCGTTATTGATATTATTTATTTTTAGTCTGTATCCTAAAGGCTGTTTTTTTGTTTTTTTAATTTCGAACATGTGACCGGCAACAGACGACTAGCAGCTACTCCTGCCACTGTTTTCCTGCAGACAGGCTGGGAAAGAACTGGGTCATGTGACAGCTGCATATCAGTTAGGAATAAAGATACTTAGATGTTTTTTTTTTTTTATTAAAATAATTTCAGTGCCATCAACCACATAAAGAAAGAGAAGGGAGAATGTAAATTAAACATTGTGTGTGTATAGTATCACTTTACCTGAACTCGTAAAAGCCTGCAGCCACAGAACTTAAAAGTCCTGAGCAGCATACATATTCTGGGTCAGTGACACAAAAACTACCAAAGTTAATGGATCGGTATGACAGCCAGGCAAACAGCATTTTTCAGAAGGAGACCAGCAATGACAGCCCACCTAGTTCTCTCAGTACAAGTTTACATTAGATAGCTTCTGCATGTCTAGCTATTTGGAAGTGATCACAGGGTCAATTAAGAGACAAGGACTTCGCGTTGTCACCCTATATCTGGAAGTTCCTGAAAAAGGACTTTCAAGGTAGGATCTCCATGGACTCCTAGATTGTAAGCTCGAAAGAGCAGGGCCATCGAACCCTCGTGTATTGTATTGTTAATGTCTTGTCTCATGTTCTGTCCCCCTTGCTACTGTACAGCGCTGTTGAACAAAACCCTTTGGCGCTATATAAATACTGTATAATAATAATTTAAGCATGACAGGCAGCAGTGCATGTACAGTATAGGGCTTCGTTCACATGGTTGTATCCCTATTTTATCTGGACCTCTCCATCTTTTTTGTTTTATCTTCCAGAAAAGAGTAGACATGGCTGAAGTGGAGATAGCTACAGAGGCATTATCTGGAGCTCTGGACTCACTGGCTACGCCGGAATTGCTCAGTTTCAGTATTGCCATTATCGGGCCTCGAAGATCAGGAAAAACCACACTAGTCCGATCTCTTTGCCACCAAACTGAGCACTTCGGTCCCAAGTTCTTGGACTCATATTTTACAGGAAATGAAGGATCTCACGAAGTCACATGCCATACTTACCCTTCTCTACCCAACGTAACTCTTCTGGATTACCCAGGGTACAGCACTGATGATTCTCCCACTGTGTACCTGGAAGGCATTAAACCTGAAAATGTCCACTGCCTGGTGATGACAGTCGGGGAGGTCATCTCTGATGCTGACTTGCAACTTTTGGGAGCCCTAAAACATTTAGGGAAACCCTATTGTGTGGTGCAGACCCATATTGACCTTATATTGCATACAGAGAAGAGGCAGCAGGGGAAGAATTACTGGAGAGGCCAGACACTTTTGGGCCTAAGGGGGAAAACAGAAGAGAGGCTGGGTGGAAGTGGGCCTCAAGGAGCCCACATCTTCCTGGTGGCCTGCCTGGAAGCCCAGAACTATGACTTTGTTGAGATGGTGGATTATATTGAGAGGGAATTGCTGCAGTGGAAGAGGTAAGAGATTAGAGTTTGGGGCCACACATTACACTGGCAGAGTCCTTTATATACATGTTAAGGCATCAGAACTAGGTGATGTGAGGAGAACTGAGATGACACAACAGACCCCAGTGCTAGCAAGGTCCTATTCTCATTCACTAGGACCTTATAAGTAGTGATAGCAACAGTTTGGTGGCCATTTTTCTGCTTCTTCGATGAATGGAAGCTCTCGTAGTTTTTTAAACTCTGAACTGCTAGTTGGAAGGTCATGGCCCACCATTATGACTGACACATGCAGATGTGTGGAGATGTTTTGGGCAAGTAAGTAGGTGCTGGAACTACCCGGTCTTGCCAGTCTTTGCATTATTGCAATGCTCTTCCAAGGTTTTTGGGCCACTTCTTGCTAGAAGATATTTTTTATTTATTGCAGATCTTTAAAATGTTTCAACTTTTCATAACTTGGCAATTTCCATGAGGTGTTTGAAATGGCATGAATGGAAATTAGACCAAGAATATGGATAAAAATATATACTGTACCTTATTTTCAGATATTATTTTTATTTTTTTTGCTCACCAATTCAAAGACAACATAAAAATTTAGAACTCAAATAAAAAAAAAAAAAAAAAATTACTAGTTCTTTAAAGTTCTTTGTGGTACCCCAACACAGATCTCGCTTTGCATTGAGGAACATACCATATGCCCATCTGTTAACTTTCACCTACTTGTCTGTGTGTGAGGCATTATAAAATCATACCTTGTATATAACAATATATAATACAATATTTGACACTTATGTAAGTGTTTCTAAAAATCCACTCCCTATCCATGTAGATGGTAACTCTTGACATCACGCCAAGACTAGACTTCATGCAGGAAACTGATTATTGACCTTGCAGGGAGGTGAAACTTGAAGTGGCAATCTGGTTTGTTCCAATGTCACCAGTTTTCCAGATCTTGGCTATTTGCTGGATTTGGACTATGGGGTGCCTAGTGAGGCCAGGGAAAATCTTAATATCACAGCGTGGCATATACAGTATTTATGGTGTATCAATAATGTAACAAATGTAGGTATGCTTGGAGTTATGCCAGTGATTGTAAAGGAAATAAAATAAAAAATAATAAACATCTCTATACTTGCCTGGAATGGAATTGCACAAAGCAGCCCTGAACAGCCTCTTCCTGGCTCCTTGTCCATTGCCCCCATGGGACACATCCCATGAGGGCACTTGTGTAGGCTTGCTTCCAAGTCCCATTGCTGAGTCCATTCGCACAGACAGCGGGACTCTGCCCTTTAAGCCCCCTTGCTCCCTCGTCATTGGCTTTGATTGACAGCAGCGGGAGTCATTGGCTTCCTGTGCTGCAGCAAAGCCAGTGAAACTCGGAAGTAAGGGGAGAGAAAAGCAGCAGATGTGCATAGCGCTAGATTGAATGAGGGCTCGGGTAAGTTAAAAGGGGGATGAGGAGCCGCAACTGATGCCTAAACATTTTTTTTACCTTGATACAAGGAATGCATTAAGGTAAAAATGTTTAGGCTGTATAACCACTTTAAAGTGGTTGTAAACTTTTACATATACCCAGTGAAGTGACTGGCCTCAGGTTATGCACAGAGATTAAACAAACCCTCCTACAAAAGTTGTACATGTTTATCTGCAATTTCCTCTTCCCTACATCCATTCAAAGTTTGGGATTTGTACAGTTTATCTGAGAGTTCAGAAAAAAGGGGTGGAAAGCTGAAATTACACTCTGCAGAGCTCTGAGAGCTGATTGGAAGGAAAAGACGCACACCCCTCCACACTGCTCACAGGAACAGAGCTGAGGCTGTAAATCTGCTGGAGTTTCCTCCCCCTTCACCATTTTTCTCTTGGTGTCAGGAAAGCTTGTGACTCATGCTGATAGCAGAGGAATGAAGCAGCAGACAGAAATTACCCTTCATGCTCTAGATTGAGACAATTACACACTATAGAAGGATCTGCTTTGATCATATTTCATGTCTGAGGGTTACAACCACTTTAAGCTCCCATTAGTCTATAATGGCTGTTTTACATACAGTAAATCAGGAGACCCTTAACATATGTCTGCTTCTGTGCAATTTGGGAAAGTAAATATACATATTTGTGATATATTTAACTGCTTGATTAATGAATATTCCAAGTCCTGGTGATGTAAACTATTTTGCTTTTTTCAATTAGAAAATTAAATTCCTAACTCAAATATCTACTTTTGGTTACAGGCCAGTTAGTCACACGGCAGATCCTCAAACTCAAGAACTAGCATCAGTATTTGAGGTACAGTGTGATCAAGAAGGACTTTCAGAATTCTGCTCTCTCCTCAGCATCTTTATAGACAACCCTCCTCCGGTATCTGCTGTGGTTGGCATAACTGGCACTGATAAAGATGGTATTCTTTGTGCCCTTTGTGAACCCCCACTTTCAGGGCTTATCGTGAGATCCCTTCCAGGTCCAGGTACCCCACCAATGTCCGTGGAACAGTACTTGCAAAACTTGCAGACAGAAGCTTGTGATGTCTACTTGATTGTAGGCTCAGGGATGGACAACAGCTCCCGTGCCACCCTGGTTGAAGCCTTGGTTGCAGCTGGCAAACACTGTATGCTGATTGGTGGAGATGAAGAGAGGAAACATAGACAGGAGGCCAAAGGGCACATGGAAGGGGGAAAAAAATCAGATCGCCATGGGTCTGATTTTCCTGGTTTGAGGGTAGCTTTAGAGAAGGGAGCTCCTCAGTTAGTCAGAGAAAGGCTTCTGCATTCTATCCCATCCATAATTGTTCAGTTAGTAAGAAGGGAGCGAAGAAGACTAATGATGGGCATATACGATCTCTGCCTGGACATATGTGCCCACTCATATCAAGGGGAGCTTCCTGAAGCTTTGTCCAAACTTTTGTCCACTCTTACATCATTCCGTGCCCGCTATGGACTAGATGACGACTCACTAACACTAATATCACAAGTAACTGGCTGCAGCTCTGAGGATTTGCGCACTGAGATACAATGCCCCCTGGCACAAGACCCAAGTGCAGAACAGCTGCTGCAGATGGCATCTCAGCCGCTTTCTCTGTCTGAGCTGGTCTGGAGCTACATCCCACACTGGGGAGGAGGAGAGGAGGCACCTACCAAATTGTCTCATGAACGCACCTACCGACTTCTGGTGGAAGCCGTCTGGGGGATGGCAGAGGATGCTGAGAGGGTGCTGCTTCATGGATGCACCAACCAGAAGGTGGCCAAAGAACGAACTGCTTTTTGTCACTGGCCCTGTGTTTGATCTTCAAGACCACTCCTGGACCTCTACCTTGTTAGGTCCATGCACTTGCACACCATTATACATATATGCTTTGGTGCATCTTTGTCTAGGTGGGAAGCATGGCGCTGTCCTTCACCCCAAACTATGTGGTAGTTAAAAAATATCTTAATCAGCAGTTTTTGGGTGCAGATTGTTTTCTCAGCCTAAAAGTATATCGTGACAAATGTTGATGTATCAAATAAATGGTCTATCGTAGAATTTCTCTTAGATGAAGTGGCTCTTTGTGTAAGCTAGGGCATGCCTCCTATAGGCAAGGCGATTCCTCTTGGTGGTAAAGAGGCTCTCTCTGTGGGCGAGAAGCTTCTCTTCTAGACCAGACAAATCTTTTTTGTAGGCCCTCTTTACAAAGTTGGTAAAGTACTTGTGACTAGAGGAACTCTCCTGTAAGCAGAGGCATTATCTTGTAGGCAAGGTAGCTCCTAATGAAAGAAATTTTGGAATTATATATTACTGTAGTCAAGGCTTCAGATTACTATTAGGGGATAATAAATAGGTGGGGCTTGTAAGTACACAGGTCCTTGTATGTCTAATAAGACCTGTCTGTATTGGCCAACAGTAGCCAAGCTTTTAGTCTACATTTGCCCTTTTCTAGTGCAAGTTTAATTTATAAAATGGTTATGTCAGTTCAGTATAAAACTAAATAAAATGGCCCATGATAGGCGGGCAAGAATCTCAACTCGTATTATAGCTTGCGGAAAAAACAAACTCGAATATCGGCTACCCAAAAAATCAGTTGAATCTTTCAATCTGTATGTGTGGGTAACATAGAAACCCAGCTTACCTTTATTTTGCACCTAAGCATGTATGACAATGGTTATATGTTTGCACTTTATACCTGTAAATATTGATTTTGCAATACCCTATGACTGGAATAGTGGATGAGGAGGTACGTCAGGCAGATGTAAAAGCCCATATACATTTTTTATTCAAAAACTGAAAACCGTTTATAAAGGCCGCATCAGCCAACTGGCTAAATGCAGTTTTGAAGTACAGTACATACAGTATATAGAAATGGTTTCACCTGGCAAATAAATGCTTTATGTTCACATATGTATGCCCTGCCTATCGCCATAAGGAAATGACACTCCCATTGCAAGCCACATGTCAGCTTCTAGTTAGTGCATCACAACGCTGTACAAAGTCATCTTTACATGCAATGGCTAAATTGAAAAACAATTTCACAAGTTTTAAAAATACAAATTTAAAGCAAATTTATATATCCATTGTTTTTTTCAAAGCTAAACTCTAGCTGTACCTTCGGTCTTGCACAAATGTACCAGATCCTCTCCTGTTCTGACATTTCTGACTCTGAGTTCACTGCACACTGTGAGCTTCTCACAATGTGTATTAGAATCTGTACCAATCCTGGCCTTGCTGTCCTTAGCCCACTCTTTTAATTTATTGGATTTTAGTTCTTTTAATCAGGGAGGTTCAGCATCAAATGTAGGTGTTGCCACAGCTTACTGTTTTCAGCCATATACAGCCCCCCCACCAACCATGATCTGCCTGCATTGTACAGAGAAGCACAGAGATCCAGTGATGATGTCACTGGGTCTAAAAAAAGGTATTTAAAAGCGGAGTTCCACTCACTCTGTAAAAAAATAAGTCAGCAGCTACAAATACTTAAAAAAGCTTAAAAAACAGCCACTCACCTGTCCCATGATCCCGCGGTGCCCCCGCCGCAGCCTGTTTCACTGGCCGTCCTGTATTCCAGGCACCGACACCTTCAGTGTGGGCACCCGGCTGTGACAGCTTGCAGCTTCACAGCCGGGTGCCCACTGCGCATGCGTGAGTAGCGCTGTGCTCCCTGAATGGCCCTGTCGTCTTCTGGAACCTGTCACGTGTCCCACAAGACTACAGGGTGGGAGGGTAGGAGGACAACTTCCACTGCCGACCACCTAGGCAATCGCAGCGGAGGTGGGAGTGGGTACCTGTCAAGTTCGGGTACCTGCTCCCGCCCGCTCCCCAAAGGTGCCAATCCTTAATGGAGAGCGGGGGACCAATATTTAAAGCGGAGCTTCCCTTTTTGGGTGGAACTCCGCTTTTAATAAAATTAGAAAAGTTTCATGTAAAAACTTTATTAGCATGTTGATGATGGTAAAAAGGAGGAACCAGGGAAGGCAAAATGTAAGTCGGTTAAACTTCAGCTTTAAACTGTTATATGTGAAACTATCCATAATACTCTATTTTATTAGATTCCCATCATCACCTTAAACCAGCTGAAGTTTTCTGCTTGCAAGTAGAGTGTCTATGTAGATTGGTGAAATGAAAAAAAGCCACAAACTTCCATTCGTATTTTTTTTTTTTTTTCCCCCCATGTGTGGCATCATATATTGTCAGAATTCAGGGAAATTATATTTCGTTGTAGAAAAAACACCATGGTAAGCTATAATATTAGAGTATATTTTTTATAGGAAAAGGAGAAACCCCTTAATAATTTACTGCTATAGCTGTCCAATAACTCTCAGATATTTTGCCATATCTTTGAATTCTCATTTCCATACATTGGCACCCGCCTTCCATTATAATGCCTCTAAAAGATGAGGGCAAAGCCACCAAGTGTTTGTTGTGCCATTCATTTTTATTGGAACCCCAAGTGCGGGTAGCAGGCAGACGTTTTTTCGCACAGCAAACAAACCACAAATCCACCTAAATGTGCCATGCTCCACTCCAAAAAAAAGTTTGGAGCTTCTTTGGGACGTTTGTGGAGCATAGGGCAGTCTATTCAAGTGAATGGGTTGCCCCATGTGCGACAAGCAGGAAAGCTCCAAAACGCACAAAAAGAACACTCCCACTACACTCAGGTGTGAAACCAGTCTTACACACACCCCTAAGCTTGATTCAAAGATCAGAGGACATTATTCTCTGCTGCTCCATGCAAAACATCAGCTAGCAAAGGGAAGGAGGAGACTGGGGCGGTCAAGAAACTGACTTTTATCGTCTTTTTTTAAGGTACTTATTAAGAGTTTGCAGTTGTGTGTATACATGTATTGAAAGGGGGGGAGCTTAGGTTTAAAAGTATACCTCACTGGAGTTCTGCTTTATAAATTGTAAAATTGAGTTTTACCATGGCCCCCATTTACATTTCTTCACTTAGTATTTAAACTTTTTTATTTTTTTGAGTGCTTTGGATACAGTAGGGAAGAGTTGGTAACCGTGTTGCGTTTTTTTTTTGTTTTTTTTTTTTGGTCCATGCCTTCACTGAGAAGGGTCTATTTCTATTTGTCCTGGTGATCATTGTCACTGGGACTGAAGGTGATAGAAAATCCAGAATTTTGGGTTGTCACCAGAATAGGTGGTGAGGCATAGTCTTCCATTTGAGAAACTTTTTGAAATGACAGATTTTGAAGTGAAGATTTTTTCACTTTGAGAAATTTCCTCTGACTTCCTGTGAACATACAAAAAGATATTACTGCTTTTGGCGGTCTTACAGGTCCTCCACTGGATGTGAATGCAAACATACTGGGATCAGTTCCTCCCAGTTTATCCAGATGGATACTTTTTTTTTTATATCCAACAAGCTTTATTGGAAGAAGTACAAACTAACAGAACCAGACCCCCTCTTACTGGTTCCATTTCTCCATGATGTTCTAATAAGTCAAGAAGGATGTAGTCATGAAGGTCTTAGTAATAAATACTCCCCTACTGGAGAGAAACAAGTGGAAGTAGTAGGAGAGGGTCTAGCTATGTGCTACAGTCTTAGTCATGAAGGTCTTAGTCTTAGCCAGGAAGATCTTAGTCATAGCTATGCCCCTGTTGGAGAGAAACAGATGGAAGAAGTAGGAGAGGGTCTAACGATATGCTACAGTCTTAGTGCCAGTTCGCACTACATGCAGTCCGGTCTGTTTTTTTTCTACTTCAAAAACGCATTGACAGTAGGTTACATGGTTTCCAATTGCATAGTTCACACCAGTGCAGTCAGTTCCAGTGCATTCCAGAAAAAAACAAATAGAACATGCTGCATTTTTTCTGCACTGAACTGTACTGGAACGCAGTAAAATGCATCAAAAATGCACTGGAATGCACATGTCCTTATTTAAGTTGAAGAAAAAGGGAGGGGGAAAAAATGAACAGGAACACATCAAAAGCACATACACATACAGTAACGCATCCAGAACGCACTGCGTTTTTGTGGTGTAAAGCAGCTGTAACAAAGGTCTTCGTCGTGAAGGTCTTTGTCATAACTGTGCCCTATTGGAGAGAAACCAGTGGAAGAAGTTGGAGAGGGTTTAGTGATCTGCTACAGTTTTTGTCATGAAGGTCTTAGTCGTAAAGGTCTTGGTCTTAGCCGTGAAAGTCTTAGTCATAACTATGATCCTATTGGATTGAAACAAGTAGAAGAAGAAGGAGAGGGTCTACTGATATGCTACAGTTTTAGTCGTGAAGGTATTGGCCTTAGCCATGAAGGTCTTAGTCATAACTATGCCCCTATTGGAGAGAAACCAGTGGAAGAAGTAGGAGAGGGTCTAGTGTTGTGCTACAGTTTTAGTCATTAAGGTCTTAGTCGTGAAGGTCTTGGCCTTAGCCATGAAGATCTTAGTCATAACTATGTTCCTATTGAAGAAAAACAAGTGGAAAAAATAGGAAAGGGTCTAGTGATATGCTACAGTCTTAGTCGGGAAGGTCATGGCCTTAGCCATGTAGGTCTTAGTCATAACTATGACCCTATTAACAAGTGGAAGAAATAGGAGAGGGTCTAGTGTTATGCCACAGTCTTATTCGTGAAGGTCATGGCCTTAGCCATGTAGGTCTTAGTTATAACTATGACCCTCTTGAAGAGAAACAAGTGGAAGAAATAGGAGAGGGTCTAGTGGTATGCTACAGTCTTAGTCATGAAGGTCTTACTCATGAAGGTCTTGGCCTTATCCATGAAGGTCTTAGTCATAACTATGATCCTATTGGAGAGAAACAAGTGGAAGAAGTAGGAGAGGGTCTAGTGTTATGCTACAGTCTTATTCGTGAAGGTCATGGCCTTAGCCATGTAGGTCTTAGTCATAACAATGACCTTCTTGAAGAGAAACAAGTGGAAGAAATAGGAGAGGGTCTAGTGTTATGCTACAGTCTTATTCGTGAAGGTCATGGCCTTAGCCATGTAGGTCTTAGTCATAACAATGACCTTCTTGAAGAGAAACAAGTGGAAGAAATAGGAGAGGGTCTAGTGTTATGCTACAGTCTTAGTCATGAAGGTCTTACTCATGAAGGTCTTGGCCTTATCCATGAAGGTCTTAGTCATAACTATGCCTCTATTGGAGAGAAACAAGTGGAAGAAATAGGAGAGGGTCTAGTGTTACGCTACAGTCTTAGTCGTGAAGATCTTACTCATGAAGGTCTTGGCCTTAGCCATGAAGGTCTTAGTTATAACTATGTCCCTAGTGGAGAGAAACAAGTGGAAGAAGGAGAGGGTCTAGCAATATGCTACAGTCTAAGTAATGAAGGTTTTAGTCATGTGAAATTTTCATCCTTCTGACTTCCCGTTGTGTCAACAGAACAGGGAGTGAAGGGAAGTTTCCCCAATGGGACACGGAGACCAAAAAAAAGCTCAACAGAAAATTTAATCATTCCCTACTCTATCCAAAGCAAAAAAAAAAGTTTTGTCTTTAGATATCTTTAGGGACAATTTAAGGTATAATTCCCTTCTTGTCCCTTCCCCTGCTATTTAAACACAACAGTACAAAAGTGACACCTACTCCCTACCCTTTCCAGTATCCTGATCCATTTCCTTCTGGTCACAGCCACAGTAAGGGATGGAATCTGTGTGCAAGAGTTTCCAATTGGCTCACCTTCAAAACTCCAGTCACTGCAACCCTAACCAGGAAGGATTGAGCCACTGGAGACGTGTCTTCCATTGAAATGAATGACTCTGCATGTAATTAGTGCAATTACCTGCATCTCAACAGTTTCAGCTGCATGCAAAAAAGCGGAAAGTATGGCTACCTCCTTCCTAAGGAATGCACATGAAAATGCACCCGAATGCTCAGAGAAAGGCACAAGACACAGTGTATTAAAAAGACATGCATTTTTTTTAAAGTACAGAATGTAAATGGGCCCTATAGATTTTTACTACAAAGTACAAGTGTGACACGCCTACGATCTCAGCTCTTTCAATACGCGTCTCTGTATTTTCTATATTAAAGATTGTCTCTCTACAACAGCATGTCCTTGTAGGGGGGGGGGGGGGCTGGGATAATCGCTATCAAACAGATGTGCGCTGTTGTAAGCACGCCAATGACATGGCTGTCTGGTTATCGTCATGTTTCTCGTCATGGTAATTTGCTTAATAAAGAAGCTGCTGTTAAACATGACATGACTGCAGTGTTTCCATTCTGTATGTCTGTATAGTATGTGTAGATGTGTGGTTCCGGTGTGTAAGCATCAATAGACAACTGTCAGGGCAGCACAGCAGTTTGGTGGTTAATGCTTCTGCCTTGCAGCACTGGTGTCCTCACTTCGAATCCTGCCTGGGGTGCTATCTGCATGGAATTCTCATGCTCTTCCACGACTTTCCTGGGTATCTCTTGTTTCCTAGCCCTTGGCCTAGTAAGGGCACGCTTACACAAGCATCACTCTCTGAAATGTGATCTGCGCAGTGGATTGCTTTTCAGAGGGTGGTAGAGCAGTGGCTACTGCTACAATATATTGCCATCTCCTGAATGCCCTTTTTGTATTCTATATCCTTTTACCCTATGTTCAAACCTATGCGGATTACAGTGAGTTTTCCAGATTGCAAAAAGGCACTACAGTCCATTTAACATGATTTCCTATGGATCTAGTTCACATCTGTGCGTTTTGAGCCAGTGTGTTTTTTGGAAAGGGTCAGGGACTTTTTTGCCCACAGCAGATTGCCATTTGCATGTAATAATTGTCAATGGACCCGCACCAAAAATGCAAGTGCTGTATTTTTGATGCGCTTTAATTGTTAGGGTTAGTGGTAATTCTTAGGGTTCGAACGCTAACCCTAGTCCTCAACCCTAACGTGTGACTTTGGACCCTATAAAGGTTCCTGTAATACTTTGATGCTACTTGAGTGTCAGAGAGTGTAAAATTGCATCAGAGTCGCACTACATGAACAGAACTGTCATACTTTCCTATTAAAAAAAAAAAAAAAGCATCAAAAGCGCATTTTCAAAAATGCAAAACGCACCAGAAAAATGCATGAACTGCAACCTGCATAGATGTGAACCTAGCCTTTAAGCCGAATGGAGATTCTGAATAGGAATACTGTGTTGCAAGAGTATGGCTTGCAGGTCGTGTTCAACAGGCAGTTTCTCCATCAACTATTCAAGGGAATGAGGCCATGCCACAATTGTCAGTCAAATGTCACTCACGGTCATATTTGATGCATGTCCCCATTCTCTAAAACAGTTAGCATTTGGTGGAGGAACTGCCTGCCAAACGTGACCTGTTTGTATACATTTTTCAGCACCATGACCGTGGCAGTGAGTATAAATATTGCTGGCTAACTTGCAGCATGGTGGTCAGAAAGGGGGTGGGGTTAAAACCAAAGCTCAACTGCTTATTTTTACTGCCTCCTGGGCTGGCTGCCCATGTAAACAAGGCCTTAGTGTGTGCATGTGAGATAGGGATTATAAGCAGGGACTGATGTGAATGTACAGTATGTAAAGTGCTGCAAAAATTATGGCGCTATATAAATTCCTGTAATAAATGAGACACCATTCACACATTCTTTTTAAAATGCACTAAATGCATGTCATTGAAGGCAATGTTCTAGATCGAGCCTATTCACATCTATGCACTACACCTTATTTTTGAAGTCCATTTTTTGTTTGCTTTAGCCCCACTTCACATCAATGTGGGTTTAAAGTCATGTGACTCTGACAAGAGAAAACACCAACACTCTGCGCTGCCCTTGCTAGATCTCGTGCAATCTTGATCAGATAGTGTATGGAGGACTTACAATATCTGGAAATCATCATCATCAGCATGTGGATCTACAAAACTGCATATAGGTAATAAAACGATCAACTAACATTGCCAGCTAACATTACCAGCGTTGGTGAAACGCCCCATGTGCATGGAGTCTTAGAATGGGGCCATTGCCTATAATGGGATGCAACTTGTCATCCCATAATTGGAGCTCATCATCATCATCAGCATGTGGATCTACAAAATAGCATATAGGTAATAAAACCAGGGTGGATAAAAATCAATGATTTTTTTTTAAAAAATCAGATTTTTTTTATTTAAATCAGATTTTTTTGATTTAAATCAGATTTTTTTTAAATAAAATGCTTTTTGAGGAAAATATATTACCATCCAAAGGTTATTCCATCATGAAATAAAGATTAGTTTTTTAATTATGTAGAATAATGCAGGCCATAGATGGGTCGAAAATCGGCCGATTTGTCGGCCAAAAATAAAATCGGCCGATTTTCGGATCGTTAGTGGGCGATTTGGTCGGCCGTTTTTCGGTATTTTGGCCGTTTTTGTTTTTCGGTAAAGTTGGAAAAAAATCGGCCGATTTTGCCGATCGGCTGATTTTCGCGGCAATTAGTGGGCAAATTGGCCGATTTTTTACCGATAAAAAATCTGCGCATGAGCAGTGACCTGCAAGAGGAAGACAAAAAGAAGAAAAAGAAGAAGAGGAAGAGGATGAAGAAGAGGATGAAGAAGAAGAAGAGGATGAAGAAGAGAATGAGGATGAAGAAGAAGATGAGGATGAAGAAGAGGATGAAGAAGATGAGGATGAAGAAGAAGAGGATGAGGATGAAGAAGAAGAGGATGAGGATGATGAAGAAGAGGATGAGGAAGAAGAAGAGGATGAGGAAGAAGAGAAGAGGATGAGGATGAAGAGGATGAAGGAGAAGAAGAAGAGGATGAGATGAAGAAGAGGATGAAGAAGAAGGAAGAAGAAGAGGATGATGAAGAAGAAGAGGATGAGGATGATGAAGAAGAAGAGGATGAGGATGAAGAAGAAGAAGTAGGATGAAAATAAGAAGAATTCCAGTCCAGCAAAAAGTATCTCTGCAGAGAGCTCCGCTATTTCTGACAGTTCTCTGACAGTTCTTTGACATTTACAGCGGTTGAAACATTGTATCTATTTGTTTCCGAATAAAAACATCTGTATCCTAAATGGAAACAAATAGATACAATGTTTCAACCGCTGTAAAATGTCAAAGAACTGTCAGAGAACTGTCAGAAATAGCGGAGCTCTCTGCAGGGACACTTTTTGCCAGCTGTAGAAGGGATGAAAATCGGCCGATTTTTTTTACCATTGATGGTAACGTCGGCCGCTTGAACGACCAAATTTTCATTTTTTAAAAGAAAAATCTGCCGTTTTTTCTCCCCATCTATGGCCTGCATAAGGCTGTATATGTTTAATTTTTGTGGTAAATTCCATGAATCCATTCACAATGTCATGCTCTTCCAGAGGTTTTTGTAAGATTATTGGGCAGTTTCTCTGCCTACAAGATATTATCACAGATACTTGGTTTACTTTTCCAGTTCTCAAAACTGAATTTGACTCAGCGGAGATCACATGCCTCTTCTTCACAGCAAAAATATT